TCTTTAAGAAAGATTAACACAACATAATGTTTAGAACTAAAAAATAATAATATATAATATATATATATATATATATATATATATATATATATATATATATATATATATAAAATAAGTGTAGTCATCTTTTGTTATTTTTTAGAAGAAGATTATGCAATATAAAATTTAACATCTAAACAAGGTTTTCTAATTGAGCTAATTAATAATAATATATTAAATATACCTAAAGACTCAAAAGTAGTGTTCCTTTTTTATTTATGTATTTTTTTTCTTTTTGATAAGATAGATATAAAAAAAATAAGTAAATAGATAAACAAAATCGATACACAACCTAAGGTCAATAGTATTGTTTTAACAAAAATGAATTCAACACATAAAAGTACACGTAACGTCTCTAATTAAGATAACCACAAATAGAACCGTAAAAATGAATAAATTCTAATTACTTTTCCTAAAAGAAAAAAATCTAATATGTAAGCTAACATTCCAGAGTTTTACGTTTCTCAAAAAGATATAAACAATATAAATTAAGAGAAAATATTTTCTCCTTTTAAAGAATAAATTTTTTTCTTACTAATGACTTATAGTATAACTGTATAAGTGGATTTCATCTTAATTTTTTTTTCTCTACTATATTGTAGATCTCACTCATATTATGAGTTATCGGTAGGAGAAAAAATTTCTTCTTTAAAAGGAGAAAATGATTCCCATAAACTAAACCTAAATCCTAAACTAAAGAACTTTTAGAATCTTTAACATTTTCTACTTTGTTTTTATTTATTTACTTTTTTGAGAAAAAGAAAGATAAGAAAAAACAAACCTAGCCATCGCTTAAGTTAACATTGAAACCAAAATTTTCTAGTAGAACTAAAGATAATTTAAATATACATAGATTTTTTAAATAAAAAAAATCTACATAGTCTGCACAAAAAAGAAATTAACAATCTTTTATTTTATTAGATGAAAAAGTAATAAGTCACATCAAATGAAACAAATTTTTATTAAACTAAATCCAAAGTTCTTTGTTATTATTTTGGTACCCCTAGCCAAAGGTCAAGTCAAATTGGTAAAGAGCTATTCTCCTGCAAAGTTTTCAAGCTATATTCAATGTTATTCACTGTTTTGAAAAAAAAAATTGTGCATCAGATGTAATATTATTAAAATAGGTCTGATGTTGAATCAATGAGTTACTGGTTAAATTGTATAATTTGATGATTATATATAAATATGTAATTTATATTAAAAACATTATAAACATACTAAAATAATTGAAAAAATAATATAAATTCGAAATATTTTATTATAAAAAATAATAAATTATATATTATTATTCAATAAAGGATAAAAAAATATATAATGCTTGTGATACTGGTGTTTCAGATTCAGTAAACGAGATCTCTAAATATAAATCAAATGAAAATTCCCTACGTAATGCATAACTAAAATAATATTAGTGCAATAATAAATTCATAATTTATGTAAGTCAATAAGCAACATATCACTCAAATATATCAATTATGAATTATTTTTTTTGAAAATTTTTTCTTTTTGATATTTTTTTTAAATAAATTGGCTAGGTCACTGATTTTCACCAAAATCGGACGAGTCGCACCGGATCTGGTACTTGGCCAATCCAATATAATAACCGGACCGATTAGATGAGTGGTTCATCGTGTTGCGAGTCAACCTGGCTAGTCCGGTCTGGTTTTTACAACATTGATAAGATGTATCCAATTAAGTATATTTTTTTTTTCAAAAGGAGATAATTTTACAATATTGCGGGAATTGTTGTTTTCAAAACTAGTAAACAATTTTCAAAATGTGAAAAAAGAGAGCCTGTAGTACCGAAGTTTTATTCCACTATTTCTAAGATAGTTTGGTCATAGGAATTTATGTTTTTCTTTTAATTTTATCTCTTAATACATATAAAAATATGTGAAACCCACTTTTTTTTTCTCAATCTTCTTCTCACATGGCCCTATATTGATCTTATACAATTATATATGTGTATAGGAGATAAAATTATTTTTTATAACATAAGAAATATTAATTCCAAAATTAAAAGCAGAATCACTAAAGTTAGTACCACTATTATTTTTTTTTATTCTTATCTAGTCTTGTAGATGAGTATTCTTTCTTTAAAGCATTAAAAGCAACTTTACTTTCTTTCTTTTTTTACAAAAATAAATATAATAAAATTAAAAAAAAAAAATACTAAATGAAAAGGCTACAACGTGAATATTCAAAAGGAGTAAAAAGCTTCACTATTGCTTGGCAAAAAAAAAAAAGCTCCATTGTTATCGTTCAAGCTAATGTACCTGAGAAATAAAGAGGAGTGGTAAATAGAGATGGCAATATAGATTGAACTTAATAGGTCAATTCGCCAACCCATCAAAATCAGATAATTGGGTTGCACATCTCAACTCATCAACCTGCTTCAACTTACTCTGGGTTGTGGATCAAAATGGATTAGCGACAGGTCAGGACAGATTTGCCCACCGGGTCAATTTTTTTTTTTTTTTGTACTATTAGATAGTATTTTGTTTATCATTACGCTTTTGTGATATCCAATTTTTTTCATATTAGTATTCCCCTAAAAAAATAAAGAGGAAAATTTTTATTTATAACAAAAATTATTCATATATAGAGGTAAAAATGAGTTCCTAAAAAATGTATGACTAAATATTAACATACATTTAAAACTGAGATTGGAGAAAATTAAGGAACGTGTGAAATAAAATTAAATAATATTAAAAATTTGTAAAATATAATTTATTTTTTAAACCATATAACGGATATGTTTAATTTTTGAACCCACATTCAAAAACGGGCCAACTAGCTGCCCCATTTTTGGCGGGTTGATGGCAAGTTGAGACTAGGGGTGTTCATAAAACCGCAGTAACCGAACCGAAAAATCGATAACCGAATAAATCAAAAACCCAAAAAAAAACCACAAATTTTAATTGGACTAGATCGATTTTCGGTTTGGTTGATGAAAACCAATCCAATCCAAACTGATCAACATATTAATTTCTCTCTACCTACTCGGGTCTTTCCTCAATCATAGTTTAAAAAGCTCTAAACTCAAGACCCATTAACCCATCAACTAAGCCCAAGAAAAAACATACCAATATCTCATCAGCAAAATTTCATTTGTGTAGAGCTTCATATTTCATTGCCAAAAGAAAAACTATATTATCATTTATTGATACTTCTGTATTTCAAAAAAAAAAAAATTACAAAGCCAATATATACAAAAAAATATTTTATTTGCACAATAATCATGAAAGAAATTTTAGGCTTTTCATAAAATCGAAAATCAATTCAATCCAAACCGAAAAAAATCGAATTGGATTGGATAGAATTTGAAAAAAAATCCAAACCGAATAAATAATTACATGATCAAACCGAAAGAATTGGATCGAATGATTTTTGCTTTCAAAACCGATCTAATCCAGACCACAAACATCCTGTTCAAGACGGATAAACACATATTACCACCTCTGGTGGTAGATGATGGCTAATGGTTCATTTAGTAGATTATATATACATTTAATAGCTTTTATTTCAATTACATAATACTAATACTTGTGACATGTGTAGCAGTATTGACTCATCAAAGGTGTAAAAGCTACCATCATTCTAGAAACAAAAAAAAAAAATCTCCGTGCGATAAACATACCAACCATCACTACCAATTGTTTTAGTCTTAGACTTATCAACATTATATTTAGTCTTAAGACTTATCACGAGTTATATTCTTTTAGTACAATTTATTTTTTACACAATTATGTGCTCCTTAAATTTAATATTAGTATTGTACTAAAAAAAAAATTAATATTAGTCTATCAAGAAAGTGGCCTAACTGAAACTCCATAGCTATATTCTTTCAAATGATAATAAATTCATGGATTTTATAAAAATTATGTTGCACGAAAATGAAATTGTCATGTCAAAAAATGTTCGTTTTCCGTGCTTCAATTTTTATTATTATAAAATACGAGCCCCACAACATGCAACCCTTTTTTCCAGTAACTTAACAAACGAAAACCCTATATAACAAGAACTGAAAGTGACATGTCTAAATATGAAATAGTAATGTGAAAATCAGAATTGACTTATTTCACTTTTTTAAAAAAGAGACAGGATCCTTTGACATCGGTGTCAAAAAAAAAGTTTGACACCTCATCTGAGAGCCGTTAAATTAAAAAAAATCAACGATTCTGATTTGTAAGCATGTGACACCATTGATTTTTTTAAATCTAACGGCTCTAAGATGAGGTGTCAAACTTTTCCTTTGACACCGGTGTCAAAGGATCCTGCCTCTTTAAAAAATAATTAAATTACTAAAAAAAAGAGGCTTTCGATTGGAAAACTTCTGAAGGCAAAACAATCATATCTAAACACGTACATCCTAAACAGAATCATCACAGGTTGCAATTTTGGTATAATTAAAAAGGAGATTACTTTTCTTATGTTATATAAGAAAAAAAATCTTCCCGCACACAAGGAAGAGAAGAGAAAGAATAGGGAAGAAAAAAAAAATTTAAATAAATTCCACATCAAATTTGTGTATATTAGATTTTTTTTTTTTTCTTATGCAACATGAAAAAAAAATAATCCCAAATTAAAAATACCTAACAATCAGGGTAGCTTAGAGTTTTAATACTTTCAAATGTAGCCCAATAATAATATTAATATAAACTACATTAGGTACCTAAAAAATAACTGATAAAATCATATCAACCCAGCTGCATATCACATCAAAGGAGCAGATTCCCATTCACCTAATGATGAAGTACAATGCAAAAAATAATCATTTCGTTCTGTTCTGGGGCCTTGTCCCTTTTTTATTTAAAAAAAAAAATCATTTTCCCACTAGTTTTATTCACCACCACCTTAGATTTTGCGTAAGTATATATAGTCAATCAAAAAATTCAGGCTAGAACGTTTAGTATTTATCTCAACATTATTTTTGTACAAAAAAGCAAAAGGGAGCAGTGAACGATTTCTATTTCTCAACATAATCGTAGCCAATTGTAAAAGACAAAATAACAAATGGCCACGAAATGAAGAACAGGAAAAGAAAAAATGAACCAACAATGAATTAACATTTCACGTGGGATTTTACAACTTTTGCACCATCTTGCTTCAGGTAATGATGATGAAACATACGCAAAATATGATTGCAAGGTAACTAACAAATACCTGCAAAAATCCTAGACTATGTAATCAAAATTTACATACCTATCAAACAGCCATTAGAGGGATAATCTAATAAAATTTTCTTCACAAACCTGCAGACAATAGATGCAAAAATATGAAATCATATGCAGATAGCATGAATTAGCAGACAATCATCAAAGCAGTGATAGTCAGCTATTTTACACAGGTCAAGTCCATCAACTTTGAATTTAAACCTAGAGGAAGGTTGGGCAGTTCAAATAATTTTCACAAAACTGCCTCTCTTCTGTCCCAGAATGTCATCCCTAAAGCATATAATGCTACACCATATGCACAACTAGTTAGCTTCCTATCCTTCCATTTGCTCACATATAGTTGCATTGATTTCAGTTATCCAGTGCAGCAAACTGATGATCGACTATAATAACAATTTTAGTCCTTTTAAAATGGATCACCTCAACCAAATCCACTGCACTAAGGTTGAGTTACATGTGGATATTCTGGAGAGTGGTACATTGATATGGCTGTATAGGACATCTAATCTTAATAAAATACATTAGACCTACAGATAACATGAGTTTTACTCACCCTCCAGCTGCCAACTAAACCATTTTGATATATGGGGATATTCTATTCACTTGTAAACCATTGAAACAAACTCATTCTCCTATAGGTAATTCAATCTTAACTTGGTGTCTCTTTTCTAATAAACACCAATAAATGACATTCCTAATCATGATACTTTTTGATGCTGCCCAGGTACCATCATCAAGGATGATAAAACTGAATTTATGGCTAGTATATGTATAATAATCTAATATATTATAGAATTATAATAAAATCTCTTTCCACCTGTGAATCTTTTACTTACAGGTTACAGCAAGTCTTTATACATAGAACCTCAGGCACAGGTATTAGATATCAAGGAAATGGATAGAAATGGTAGATCTAGTTATCAAGATCTACTACAAGGAGTAAACAGTGTGAAAAGTTAAAACATTGCAACAGACTTCATGGAAACTTAGAAGACAATTTAATTAATGTATGCAATGATTCCTTAAACCAGAACTCAAAAGGATAATCTTGAATAGAAAAATTTATTAACAAGTTAGTTCAATAAAAGAGAAAAAAAAAAGTAAAAGGAGCTAGTTTCTTACCTCTTAGATCTTGACCACTCAATTGAAATTATTAGGGATGAAGACTTCCAACACAGACCTGATAGATGGCCAAAATATTTTATGATTACAAGGGTGATGAAAACGGGCATGTGGATCTATTCCACAAACGATGGAAATATGTTTAAGCTTTACCACTGTAAATCCCATGTTCATAGGCTCAAACATTCGTATTTTTCAGTTGCAGCATGGTTTTCATGTCAGAAACAGTGTCACGTTGCACTTCCATTGTATAAATATACAAACAAAACCTAATCACCAAAGTACAAGTCATCCATTTCCAAAAAATATCATCCAGAAATGTCCGAAGATGAAGTGGAAGGCAGAAAATGTAACACATACATGAGAAAATGATAATTAGTTTCTTATGAATGTTGACCTTGGCTCCTCTAGCATGTATACGTAATACGATACTTCTGTTCTCTTACTTTTCTGACAGTTTTAAAAATCAGGATATGAACTATGGCCCTGAAAACATCAATAATTTTTAATTTCTCTAATGTCCCGAAATCCACCATATATCAGTATAATAAAATTAATCAATCAGATCTTAATCTAGCTTCACCATTATGATGAGACTACATGAGTGACATACACAGGCATACCCTTTTAAATCTTAATAAAATAATTGACAGACACAAAAACAAATCATGCTAGAAGTCATGTAAGTGGTTCATGAGAATGTTTATGTAGAGATGTGATATGGACCAGCCACACTAGCTCAATCCAATGGGCTGGCCATTAAGACCCATATAAGAGGTCACTCCCCTGCATCCTGAAGTGAGACTTTTAGACCCTCATTGTAGAGGATTTCACTCCCCTGCACATTACAACTAACACCTCACGCTTCAGGCGGGGTATGCTTGCCTTACACATAGTGAGGCCACTAGGACAAAATGGTTATGGCTCATTCTCACTCATCATTGGGGGATCTTCCGAACCTATATATACCTCTCTCCAACTATTGAAGAGACACCTTCCACACATTAATTTCAAAGTTGTTACTTTGCAAAAATACCACCTCAGAGCCACCATGCCCACAAATTCCCATTTTTGCTCACAGCGTACACTTGAGATACCTTCTACAGTGACTCTACATAGAGCTTTTTTTCATACCACTGCATCTTAGATCACTATTACATTGAGATACTCTATCTTCGAGGAAAACAGACCTAATCTCACCATATTTCAACTCCATCACTTGAATACATGATCAAATATCTAAAGAAAATAACAATAGATAATATAACCTTCCCTCGTTCAAAAGATTAATAAATAATTCTTTATAATTACTTATTCCAAAAGTTTCAGAAACCAAATGAATAAATTGATTTGACCTTTTAATAGGTTATAGTTTCTTGCAAGTGTATTAACATTATTGGGTTAAGAAAAGCATATTCTCCAACTTTCTTCCATCTGACTACCAAAGTGTTTCAAGCATGAAACTCTTAAAGCAAGCATACTCAACCTTTTCTTTTTCTTTTTGTTTATGGTCAAATTATTTCTTTAATGAATGAATTGGGTGTTAAGTCTCTGGTTTTCATCAAAGAACCATTTGATCTAAAATTTAAAGAATAGATTTTATAGTTCTAACTTCTAACTTGTCCCCTCATGTGGAAGCCCACAGTTGTTTTTCTATTCCTCATCCTTATCGTATCTTTCGATTATTTTCAAACCCCTGCCAAGTGGCATAATGAATTTGAACAGAGACATATCTATAGGATAGGCCCACAACATTTAACATATGCATGTCTATGCATATCAAAATAAGGGAAAGATAGTTAATCCAGGACAGAACTTGACAAAGTCCAAAACATAGGCCAAGATTTGAATAAGTTCTGTAAAGTACTAGGGTCACATGAATGTTTAGACAATCTGAAAGACATTCGTAAAGAGAAATTGGCATAGATGTGCAATGGCAACAAGAATGACTTTCCATATTTGTGGGTTCAAATATTGTAGTTAACATGAAAGAGTAGTTCATAGTCAAAAGCAAGAAAATAATTATGTGCAACATTGGTATGAGCAAGAAAATAAATATTGTAGTTAACATGAAAGAGTAGTTCAAATATTGTCTTTGCACCAGCTGATTTTCAAAAATGTTACATATTTTCTTTAAAAATTATGGTATAGGCTTGGTATTGGTTAGGTTTTTAAAAGTGATACAACATTGGTACTAGCTGGATTTTGCTAATTGGGTGGGTCTTTTCCCTAGCTCCTCCACTGTCTATGATCATATAATTATGTGCAATTTTTAGGTATATTTTTCAAATTTGTTAAATATGGATAATAATTATTGATTGAAAAACTAATACAAAATTACACATACACTATTCAATGTTGTACATGCAATTGTTAATTTGATTGTTACAATTTCAGTAGTAAACTTATCTTAGCCTCTTTTCAATTTATTGTTCGCTGTGAGAAGAAATTTTTCCTAGTGTTTTTACTATCCTTGAACAATTTGTTCAGTATATTTTTGGTTGGAGAACAAAATATTTGCCTCCTTTACAACCCATTGCATCAATGATCCATAAAATAATACTTGAATCATAATTAGAAGATTATTATATGACAAGAAGAAAATAATAAATAATAACAATGACCAAGTAAAACTTAAAAAGGTAATAATTTCCATTTCTATTAGCAGACATGATAATTGATTGGCCCTTCCTATGGAACACAGAAAAAGAAATATGTAACTTTCCGAACTATATTCCATAATATGATAAATTTCATGTACACCCCCACAGAAATACGAACTTCAACTATACAAGGATTAGAGGAGGGAGAGAAGAAAAAAAGATGGTTGCTACAACTAACTTTCAAGAGGAAAGAGAACTCCAGATTTGTCAACTGACAAAAGAGAAGAGAACCAATTATGGACTCAACAATAAGACAACCAGTAGTTTATTGTAAAGGTTAATTGATCTCGAACTCAAACGGAAAGGAGACTTTAGCATCTAATTAGAGGCCGAATATTCTTAAACCTAGAAAAAAGGAGAAGGGCTGCTAAATTTGGTCTATTGAGAAACCTTATTCTTTGTTACCATATCTCTTTGCAATGATAGGACGGACATCATCAGCATCAGCCAAGCTCTCTAGAAAGGGAAGTAATGACATCAGTGCAGAGTCTAATGGATCATCAAACCAACTCTTTATAGGAATACCATTATTCACTTGCAACCGGAAAACCTGAAATGTGTTATAAGATTGAAAGGATTAAAAATTAAAGAATATTCAGTAAAGAAAATATTTTCTCCCTTTCCCGTCCAGGGCAAGACAATAACCTTTAGATATTTTAAAGTGAGGAGAGAAAGACGGAAAGGATTTGACGGGAGTTATTTCCTCTTGTTTGGATGTTTAAGTGAGCAGAGGAGGGGGTCAGGGTTATTTCCCTCTATTTAATTTAAAATAAGGCTTACCTCCAGCCCCAATTTGAGCATGGAAGAATTTTGAAGCTGTGAGGGGGAAGGAGTCTCCCTCCCTTTCCCTTCCTTCCCCTAATTAAAAAACTTCAAAATAAGGGTTTGAGTCAATGTCTTCCATTCAATTCTCATCCAAACATACAAGGTTATTATTGACTCAATGTAAGGAATCTCATATGTATCTTCCCTTTTTATTCTGTTTTGGTTAACTCAAAGCCTAGTGCTCATCTATTGCTTGCGGTTGGCTTCCCCAACATAATTGTTATGAAGTTTAATATACCTAGTTTTATACATGCCTTTTAAGAATCCCCTAATATATCTAGTATTAGTAGGAAAAGAGAAACACTTTAAAGTTCCCTGAACTTCAAAATTAACATTGTGGTGAAAATTCAAAACTGCTTAAAAATAAGGAATTGAAAGAAAGTCATTTAGTTAACAACAAAAGAGAGGGATAGGTTCTATACCTGAGGTGAATTATCAATTATGACAACTTTTGCGAGATCAACACCTAATATAGTAAGATCTTTTGTGTAATTTCCATCTGAAAAAAGGCATGATTCTCGATATACACGGCGAGAAATAAATCTTCCATCAGGATCCAATATATCCAGTAGTTGTTTTGCATATATACTTTGGCTGGCAGTGAAAATAATAACTTCAAACATCTCTGATACTCTCTCCAAGAATGTGTGAAGGTAAGGCCTCTGTTTTACATATACTGTGTACTCTTTCATACTGAAGAAAACAGTAAAAGTGAAATCCGCATCATCACAATGTTCCAGTGTAGAATGAACAAGTGTCTCTGCACATAAGAAAGCGTAATGCATGGCTAAGGTGAATTGGATTTTCAACAATAAATATTCAGAAATAAAACATTAAGAAAAAAATGAAAAATCTTATTTGTTATGACTTATGAATGAAACAATGAAATAACACCCTATAGAGGCTCAAAGAAATCAGTTAAACTAAGTGAGCTTTTAATGAATACTCTGAATTCTCAATCAAATTCAGTTGTCTCAACTTTCATGTGATTTGCATCTATAAGTATGAGCCAATGTTGTGGCATTGGCAAACTTCTATATGCTACACCGGGCAACCATACTTGCTGGCTTAGAAAGTATAGTAACAAGAAACTCCAGCAGTCATTAAGCCTACACCACAGCAGAATGGATTGGAGGTTCCTCTAAACTTACAAAAATATAGTATAGGAATAAAGCTTCAGAACAAAAGGAAATTATTGTAGTCTTTAGCATGCACAAGCACAATTTTCTTTGTACATCAATATAATATGTGTTAGAATATCTCAGAATATCTTTCGTGTATCTTCTATTTTCGAATAACCTAAAATATCTTTAGAATATATTGTACAGACAATTAGTCTTCTAATTAAGTAAGTAATCTTTGGTGTTGTTTCCTAATTAGATAGGGGAAGTTAGGGAACATATTAGGAAGTAACCCCATAGTTTTTTCACTCAATTATGCCATGCTAGCCACAAATTTTCATCTCCAAGCAACCTCACCGTTGTGTTCACTGTTCTCAGACTGGCAAGTCACCATAGTGACATATCTTCCCACAGGAAATGACTCTTCTACCCACTGATAAATCAAACTAGTGGTGAGTGGTGACTTCTCTTCCCAATAAGGAATCATGCTGGCGGCGTCCACTATTGGCGCCAATTCTGGCTCCAATTGGCTATGTACTGGCGGTGTTCTCTATTGGCTGCAATTCTGGCTCCAATTGGCTATGTACTTGAAAGTTTACTATGTTCTCTTCCAACCCCATTGTTGATTGATCCAATTCAAGCCATTTTAGAGCTGGATTCAGTTTTCAAGGCTCCGATAACAGTCTTGCGGTTTGAAGTTTTCAAATGTTCTTTCTTGATGTTTGGAGAAGTTGGGCCTTTTGTTTGCCTGGGAATCTTCCAGTATGCGGTTTTCAAGACAATGTGTCTTCCTCCATAACCATGCAACATTCCAACCAGATCTTTTGGCTGTGCATCATTCCAACTGTCGAAGTTATCTTTTGAATAGTACATCTCTCCAGCATCCATTTTCAGCTACAATTTATGGGGTACATATTATTTTGAGGATTATTTTCTTTTGGTGTGTCTAAGATACACAAAGATATTCTTAGAAAATTTAAATATCTTAGGAGGTCATTAGAATATATTGTGGAATCAATTATTTATCTAATTAAGGATAAGGATGCAATCTTAGGAGTTGTTTCCCACTTTCATTATATTTCCTAATATGTTTCCTTATTAAATTAGGGTTAGGAGTCTTAGTAAGCTTGGGCTCGTACAACTAGTACTGCATTAATATTTGACATAATTATTAGAATAAATAGGAGTTAATGTTTTGAATTTTACATCACATCCTACCACATTGTATCAATTTAATATTATATTATTCCGTGTCTTTATTCTCTTTTCTTCCTTCTTACCTTAACCTACAATTTCAACGTCATATCAAAGTGATAACATCCTCCGTGACTTGGTCTAGCCTCTATTCCACTGAGTTCCCCAAAATCAATAACTCCTATACAAGAGTGCCTCTATCTCATGTGTCTCTATTAGCAACCCCGAAAAGAACACTTCTGTTTGATTTGCTGAATCACTGACAAGGAACAAAGGAGATAAATCTCCTCCAAGGGTTTCCCCTAAGAACTGAGGCACTGCTCTATTTTACAAACTAACAAATCTGAATGACCCTCCCTATTTATAAGCCTCGGCTTTTACAACTCTAACCACCTAACTAATTCTATAACTATTTTATATTTAATTCTATAACCACTTCGTGTGTCCTATCAATCTCTTATTCTTATTGGCCATATAATATTCCCGGCATTGGAATGCTTCTTTTTTTTTTTTCTATTATGCCATGCTTCTCTTTCCAGCAACCTTTTGCCTCCTTTTGGATGTTCTTGTGCCTTATTGGAAGACTTCATCTCACTAGCCACACCTTTTCTCTCTCCTCCCGTGGTTATCCATCTCAGATGCACAAAATCAATACACAATTAAGTTCAGTTATAATACAACATTTTGGAGATTCAACATTGACTAAAATCAGAAGTTTTCTATCCTCCGTATGATTCGTAATAATTTTTTGTATACAAAACTTCTTACTCTCAAGATGGAGAAAACATCAATAACCATTTGAGATTTTACAAAACATGTATCAACATCAACATTAATATCAACAACACCTTTATCCCAAATTAGTTGGAATTGGTGGATTGCAAAACATGTATACACCATACAAATATGACCTGCATATCATTCCTCAAGTCACGAGGATATTGTTTCCCAATTCCAATAATATAAATGCCACATACCAAAATGCATGCATATTAGATATCAATGCATGGCTATGCATCCGATTCTTATAAACTCTTTTTTGGTACAATTCTCTAGAACTTGTATTATTTAACAAAATTGAAGTGACAAAAAATTAGCAATACCATGCCATCCATAGAAATATAAATAAATAAATCTTTACAATAAAACATTAAAAACTGGAAGACAAATCATCCAAATTTTACTCTTAAATCTAAAGTAAAGTGAGATATCATAACCTGCATTATAGGCAATCTTGATGATTTTTCATGATGAAGGCCAATCTCTCAATATGAATAAGAAATAATTAAAAATTGAAAAATAAAAAGACAGTATTATGAATCTAAAGCAACTTATGTTTCAGAATCCACATAATCTAATGAAATAGGAAATGGTGGATTGGACCTATGACTCAAATGGCATTTAAGATACCAGTTTACATCCAATGCGATATTAAATAAGTAAATTATTAATAATCAGCGGGAAACATGCTAACTTAGTTTCTTACCATCTAAGTCAAGCACCAGGGTTACTGACTTTCTTCTTGGAGATTGCTTAGGAGTTAGGGTGGGCTGTCCATTTAATTCTACTTCAGATAGTTCTGGTAAATTCTTGATAAATGACTGTGGATCAAAGCACTCTGTCTTATCTGAGTCATTTTTAACATCAGACACCTGGTTGCAGGATTTTATCTGAGCCATAGCTGAATATAAGCTAGCACTTTCTCGAACCATCATGGCTTCCTCATATGTTATGATATCAGAAGTACTGTCAACTTTAAAATCATCTTCAAGAGCAGGCAGGATCATGTACTGTTCAGATGCAGTAAACATTGATGGCTCAGCAGATCCATAATCAGATAGGCAGTTGGTTTCACTGATGCCATCGTCAAAGGCATTTCCACCAAAGGGTAAGCTTGTAATGATCATGTCAGAAATGTAGAAGTCTGATACATCACATGTTTCATAGCCACATATGCTTCTTCCTTCATCAGCTCCCACTCCTGGCATATTAGTATCCTCAATTCGTCCTACAAAAGAATCAAAGATGTCAGCATATAAATAATAACAACCAGATAGTCATGAAGTAGCGATACATTGTGATGCAAGCAGTTCAATCTAGCAGAGATAAGCTTAAAAACCAAACATTATTAATTTGGTCTACTTAGGAAATTGAGCTGGACGGTAAATCTCTTGCTTGACAATTTAGAAATTTTATGTCAAATATTACATTTTCAGTTGTAGTGGTATTTTATTAAATTTCTATTGGGTCTTAAAGTCAAGTATTAGTCAGATCTTATTATTCAGATCTATGTACAGGCTTCAGTTTTGTGGGCTTTCTTTGATTTGTGCCAATTTTTTGGCTGCTAGGTATGTTGTATAGTAGCTGATTCATTACTTGGGTCTTAAGTTTACGACTATTCATGCCTATGTTTTGACTAGTTCCATTTTAAGTGATGCAATCAGCTTACAGGTCCTCAAACCACTAGGCTATGACTATGAAGCATCTCTCTTCCTCATCATGTAGGCAGCCTACACAGCACCCTAAGAGTCACCACTGACCCTTTTGTCCTAGCAATCCGAACCGTATTGAAAAGGTTCCTGAGACAGCATGGAAGAGTCACATTATTCAGAAACGAGATCCAAGAATGAAGAAGGGGTAGAATTCAGAATGAATATGAGCTGTCGCTTTGCGTTGAATGCTCTTGACCCTGCCCACAATGATGGCTCTGTTGTCTTGGGGAGCGTGGAAGCTTGCTTTTCCTTGTAAACCAGCACTACCATCACTATACCCCTGGTAGCCTTCAACTCCCTTAATTTCTACCTTTAATGCTCCCAAGAAAAGTGTGATTTTGTGTTACGATCCAACTCCAAGGTCTAGAACTTGGAGTCCCAGATCGGAAACATAAGGTTCTGATATGGGATTTATATGGACTTTGGGCTCTCCTATCTCATGGGCTAGCTTTTGGGGTGAGGCTCTCCCAAGGTTGGCATCAATTGGTATTAGAGCCTTCCATTATATCTCCCAGTTGCAATCAAGCGGTGTGGGTGGTGATGCTGGCATTGCAGAATTCACCCAGAGCTAGTAAAAGACTAATGCAAAGCCAGCCCGAGCTGGTGTCGGGTCTACGAAGCGTGGTGGAATGTTACGATCCTTATCCAAGGGATGGGACTTGGAGTCCCACATCGGAAACATAAAGTTCTGGTATGGAGTTTATAAGGACTTTGGGGTCTCCTACCTCATGGGCTAGCTTTTAGGGTAAAGATCTCACAAGGTTTGTGTCATTTTGATATGTTGAATTCTAAGCCTACTGATTTCCTGCATCATAAGTCATAACTCTATGGTATGCAAGTGAATATACAGTGTATCCATGCAGCAGAAATTATTGAAGTAGCATAGGGAGTAAAAGTCATGCGGAAGGATCTAATAATAGTTTTTTGCAGCTAGATACCCAGATAACGAACTTTTGGGATTATGGCAAATTATATACTGATGTCGCACGGGAAATTTTTTTATATTATGCTTATTTATCATTGTCTATACATGACCCCGAAACTAAATAAAAAGAAAAACTCTGCGGGAGATTCTTAATCAATAGAACTTGGTTAAATTTATGTATTGATCCTAAATTCCAATAATAAACAAGAAACGACCCATCCAAGTAACAATACAACATATCATAATAAGTTATTCAAAGCAGAACACAGCAACAGATATGACTAAAAGAGAAAGATATTTGATGTAATAGACCCCAACTATTTAGGAGTCTACTGGAAACAAGTAGGATTGTGAAAAACTGTTTTTTGTACAACCTGTCAATCTTGAATAATAAAATCCTTCAAGAATATGAAGGCATTCTCTTTCAGTTCAGAAGATACATAAATACCAGAGCAGCAGTCAGATGCAAATGCAATTCACTTTTATAGAGGTTGGATCATATGCAGGAAGTCAACTCACAAAAAACTTACAAAAAATAAATAATAGAGTTGCATAATAAAGCTTATTTTCCATCTAAAAAAAATAAAATAAAAATTACAATCAAGTTCTGTCAGATTCTGAGCAGAAAAGCAGAAGTCCAAGAGCCTCTAATGAATTATATATATATAGGGTAGGATCATTTGACACGGGTGTCAAATCAAAAATTTGACACCTCATTCGAGAGCCGTTAGATCAAGGCAGATCAACAGCATCACATGCTTACAAATTAGGGTCGTTAGATCAAGGCAAGATCAGATGAGGTGTCAAACTTTTTGTTTGATACTGGTGTCAAATGATCTTGTCCCTATATATATATATATATATATATATATATATATATATAGGGGAATGATCCGTTTACAAACTTTTTTGAATTTTTTTTACAAACTACACTATGTTCTCCTGGGAGAACATAGTGTAGTTTGTAAGAGTTTGTAAACAAAAAAGTTTGTAAATATAACCTGCCCCATATATATATATATATATGAAAGTCACAACTCCAAAGACTTTATGCTCTAATCTTGGTGTCGTGTGCATGATCCAATACACATAGTTTGCTCGTTTCACTCTTACAATAAGCCACTACTCTCACATGTTATACTCCATACAGACACAGACATAAACAGAGAGAGATAGGGAGAGAACAGAATTGTCATACCTGCATCTTTATCAGTATAACGTTGTGAATGGACTTCAATGGGCTCAAAAGCAGGAGAAAAAATTGTTTCTAAGTTTGCTGTACAGGGGTTGGTTAGTTCCTAACAAAAGAGAACGAATTATGTCAGTTGTTCATTATGGAAAAGTTCAAACGTCACAGATACAGGTATAGAGTAATGATTGACAAGTTATCAAAGTCAACACAAAACTATTACTTTTAAAATGCTATGGAACACTTAGCTTACATAGATTGAATTGAACCATCACATCCACTACCAATGGTCCTTTATTATCCTTTCAATGTGTTCTAATATATTAAACCTTTCCAACAGGAAAGCTAACCTACACACAAAGCTTCTGGAAATATTTCCTCTTTGCTGTCACTATAACCAAAACAAAGCTTCTAGAAGTATCTATATAATTTGGAAATGGTAAAATTTCTTTTATCTAGGAGATAATATAACACATGAATCAGTACAGTTCTAAGTATATGCCCCATATTTTGTTTACGGTGTTTGCCAACCTTTAAAAGCCAGATAACCCGTACAAGGTGTTAGAAATTTCTTAAAAACTCGTTCTTGTTTCATTAATTTTTTTATCTCAAAACTAGTTTGAAACAAATCCAGTAAAAAGTTGGCTTTAAAATTTTAAAATAACCAGTGTATATTATGAATTTAAAAATTTATCATTTCTCTCCCTCTTTCTTTTTACTTTATCTGAAATTTAAAAGATAGATACACACTAAAACATTAAGTATTAAACTATTTTAACATCAAACTTTAGACAAACTAAACATATCTTGAAACTAGTCCAAATTTATATATTTACATAATTAGTTTAAAATTGAACAGTTCTGAATCAGTTTCTAGTTTGTTAACCCCCTTCTTTATGAGACATTTCATGTCCAAACCTAATTTTCTTCACAAACGCAATGCGGGACAGTCAAGGCATTGACAAATGCAGATGTATTAGATCATCAAATTCCACAACTGAGAAAACACAAAATAACAAAAATGAGGGGAAGGAAGAAAAAACACCAAAACTTGTCATGCATTAAATTGTGTTTACTCTCCTGTTTTTGTGAATGTGGGGGAGGGGGGGTGAACTTCTTAGTTCTTACATGATTATGTTTCTTTTAATGCCTTAAAATAAGGACGCTGTTACGGCCCTTGTAATGGAGAGAAAAACAGAATGCACAACAAGCAGGGGAGTTATTCAAGAAGAATACAGAGACGATGGAAAGAGAGCTTCTTTATTACTTCAAGGGCTGTGGCCCTTCATAAGTGAGCAGTCCCTTCTCTGAGATACAACTCAGCCTAAACAATATTCTCTAAAAAGTGTCCTCATCAAAGGCTAATTCCTCTATTAATACATTCTCGCTCTTTTTCTCCCTAACTGTCTACTAAACTAATTTCCTAACTGTTTTTACTTTCTCTTTGTTTATTCCTACTGGAATATACTCTCCACTTGGCTGGTTGTCCTCCTTGTGCAATACCAACCTTATTAGACACTTATTGCCTAACAACAACTGTGGATATGCATAAACAATACAAAATCATAAAGAAACTTGATCACAGCTTACAGAGCGCAGGAAACAAATTAGAGATTTATTAGTGGGACAGAAGTCTCTGTGCAGGAAAAATTAACATAATCATATAGAAAGAGAAGAGGGGTGTAAGCATCACAGGCTCTATTGACCTCTGTTGTAAATAATAGTATTTGTTTATTTATTTTTATTCTAGAATCTTCTTTGGGCTTAGCCCATTAGGTTATTTAGTCTCTTTAAATAGAGAGCAATTGTACAGATGTAACATACAATTTTATCAATAAGACTAGAGCTAACTTTTAGGGTGGTGTATCCCAAGGTTCTTTACAACCTCCAAAAACAGTACTAAGGAAAATGTTAATTGGGGGAAAACAACATCTTCAACCCTATAGCAGTTTTAAGTTATCCCAGATAATTCACAAAGCTCATGAAGTTTTCAGTTTTGACTGTTGATTTCTCAACTAAATTTAGTAAATTCTAAAAGACAAAAGATTCATAAAGAACTATCTTTATGACAAGAAAACATATGAAACAATTCAACCTGATATTTTAATAAGAGAAAATTATGGGCTACTTTTAGAAGGACATGCTCTAGCAAACTGTGGATGCATTAACTTCAGGACAATATTTACGAAGGGTTATATTAAAGAAAGACTCCCTTATTGGTGGAAAATCTTAATTGTCATGAACATTGCAGTAACTAACACCAAGGTATTAAAAAATTATACAAAAAGTAAATTTCCGAAAAATAAATATTGTCCAAAGCCAATACAATTAAACCCTACCATTTTTCCCATAGCAGAGGAATAAACAGAAAATTGGTGCTGCGATTCAGAGTTTTCATTATCCAGAAATTCTTTGTTGTTAATGGATTGATCACTTGCAATGTCTTTGGGCATCGTCCTTGAGGAAACTATCAACAAATAGTAAGAACTATCAAATGCGAGGAATCCAAATAATTTCAGTATAAATTTAAACACAAGCCCATAAAATAAGGAAGATTCAAAACATATAGAAAGTAATACCTACTATGAGAGCACATAAATAAATTATTTCAATAAAGGAAATAAACTTCCAGAAATGGATACACAATTCTATGAGACGCCTACTTCACGTCATAGTTGGCCACTCTACTCAGTTGAAATATTAAGCATTAGTTTTTTTATCCCAAATGATTGTCATCACTCATCAGAACAATTTCTCTATTCCATAATCTAATATTAAAAACCCTTTTAGACAACCCCAAATAGTGGTGAATTGATGATGCCAACACAACTGCTGCTGATTTGGAAACTATGATCCAAAGATTCAGATACCTTATACAGCTAACTCTTTTCTCCCTTGTTTTTGGTTGTGACGAAAGATTGACATAATAAATACCTTACATAGGACAATTCGTGAGACCCTATGTAGCGTAGGGGTGTGGAACCTAGTACAGAAGGACCTACGCAAGGATCCACATCTTAGTTTTGTACATGACATGGTCCCCTAAAAACCTAAGATGAGAGGATCCACATCCCTACGCAACATAAACAGAGAAAACTACTTCCCATTAAACCTCAACTAGTGAGAGAGGTGAAAGCAATCCTTGTACGCGGCAGATGTATAAAGAAGCAGTTTTACCACCACTCCAGGCTCCCCTCTTTAACAAATACAAAGATGTATTTTAATTTATCTTTCCTAGCAGAATGTTAAAAGTCGTATATATCACGGATCTCTTGTCCTTTTCTTAATTAAGAAACAACTTAATATAACCATCAGCCAGATGTATTGGCAAGAATGGTTCTATGCATTGCTAACCGTTGGAGCACCAGCAATTCGGGGGGTTTCATAATTATGAACAAAACAAAGTCATCAATTGTCCATAATAATGAAAATCAATTATTTTACATGTCCACACACGAACGCTTAATATCATAAGCATGTTATTAAATATGTTAAAAACCAGCAAAAAGTAAACTGAAAAAGAACATGAAGTGAAGCAAAATTACAAATCATTGATAAAGACACTAATTAGAAAAACAAAAAAGAATTTACAAAGATACTTAGACAGAAATCTCAAAGAGAGATTGAAAAAAGCCATCTCAAGTTGCAGCTTACCATCTAGGCAATTTCGAATAGTAGTGTCTATTTCTGCCTTTTGAGAAGAAATCATGGTTTTAGAGCATGTGTTTTTGCAAATTAATTTTGATTTCTGACATACATGAAGATCCGTTCTTTCTGTTAAACAGCTCCCGTTTACTTTGCTCTTCATTTTTAGGGATGGCATTTGATTTGTTCTTACAATAGGTACAACAATCTTGCTTTGGGCACATCTGTGGGGAACCAAGGTTCCTCTAGCCAGTCAAAGCAGCAGAGGCTGTTGCACAAAAAGAGAACAGAAATACTAAATTACCAATTATATAATATGTAGAGATAAAATATGCATTGAGAACTTTTTAAAAAAGATTAAAAAGAAAAACTGTTACCCAAGTAGAAAACAATATTTTTAAATCAGCACTAAGAAATTTACATTTGAGAATTGGAAACTAACAATCCAAGTGTTTTCTTCTTCTAGTTATTAAAGAATGTAAGTATTACAGAGTTTTGAAATACAAGATGAACAATAGAGGCCTAGAAGAGACCATCTTTTACCAAAGCAAGCAAACTGCAAAATTTTTAAAAAATCTTAGTATTCATTGCCGATTAATTATGTCAAATTACTCAAATACAGAAGACTTACAAAACAGCAAAGAGTACATATAAAGTAAAATCCCTTACCTAATAATGATTATACCAGGAAGGAAAGAAGCCTAAAGGAAAAACATAGCCACCATACAGAATAATATCATCAAACACAACTTAGTTAAAGGATGATCTGTCAGAACTCAGAATCATAACATTATCTAAGTGACATCTGAAAAAAAATTACTTCTTAAGGGAAAATTACATTTGATTTTGAATTTAATGATCTCTCATCCATATACAGAATATACAAGGCTGTATCCTTGAGTCCGTCGTCTAGATGAAGCCAAATAAATATCTACAACAAGACAATTCATTCCTTCCATCCCTCCCACCCCCACACCCCCCAATAAAATAAATAAATAAATCTTATTACGTTCTAAGAAAAATAAGCAGTGTTCTGAAAAATCCAAATTACTCCCACCACAAACACTTAATTCAGAAAAAGCAGTATATCTTGCTAAGTTTCAAAATCAGATTAGAACTATTACGTATACAACCAAAACTAATATTTACTTTTTGACTACTTTTCAGATGCTCGACATTCCTAGTGATTTTCTAAGAATTGTCAACACAGACAACAAGAATTATATGTTCAACATAATTCACGAAAAGTCCACAGAAGTAGCAATAGCATACCCATTTCACAACAAGAAGGCAAGAGACCCAAAACCCATGTTCCAAAACACACAAAAATTCACGAATTGACGTGCCAATCTGAAGTCAACCCTCAAAATCATCACAACAAAAATTAAGCAAAACCCAATTGCCACAACACATGGAAACAACAAACATAACCAGAAAAATGTTGTCAAAACAGTAAATGAGAAAAAAAAAAAAACAAAGAACAAGTTCAACTTACAGTTATGCAGCAGTATAACCAACAAACAAACAGTTCAAAGATGACAAAAGAAAAACAAAAGCACCAAAAAAAAAAAATAATAATAAGCTATTATTTAGCTGAAAAAAAATGTTACAAAGTCACACAGTAATTCCACAGTGAAATTCAAAAGCAGATTACCTGTGGTAGCAACGGAACCAACCCTTATCCCTCTCTCTCTCTCTCTCCAGTTTCTCTCTCTAGATTTCCATTGAATTTCATTCCACTGAATTAAAGTGTCAGGCTGTAAGTATGTACTCTTTTGGACGGCTGGGATGTGATCTATGGTTTCGACCAATAAGAACGTGCCATGTGGAGCGTGGAAACAGCTCAGCGTGATGCGTTGACACGTGCTGCTTCGCGGAAAGAGAGGATGGTGTGCCATGAGCCTACGAACATGACACACTCTAGTTGTTCACCGCCCTCGGAAGCGCGTGCGCCTCACGCCCTCACATCAACCCTTAATGCTCTCTAGTTAGTTATTAACTCTATTTATCACTGTGCTCTACATATGTTTGGTTCTTGTAAGTTCTAAGTCCAACAACTCTATTATTGAAGTTTGAGTCAACTTCATCGAAGTGCACTTTGCATTTCGGAAAAAATACTCTTTTATCAATATTAGCTTTTTTTAATATACACGTATTTTTGTTGTTCTTAATATTGCGGCCAATATTTTTGACTTAACAACTCTCGATATTAGTCGGAATCAAATCGAACTACAAGGTTTAGCGGTAAGCCTAAACAAACAACAAATTTACACTCAGTTAAGATTTTTTATGCTTTTATTTATATTAAGTTTTGTTCTGGATACTACTCGCCTTAGACCCATTAGTTGGGTGCGATTTCTTAAAGCTCATATTTAGAACTTTTTAAAGGGTATTCATGGCAAGCCATAACGACTAACCACTGGGACATTTTCCTTCCTGCACTGTTGTTCCTGTACACTGACAATGGACAACATGTCTTGTCTCAAGACAGGACATGACTTGATGAGACAATTCATGGGACTGACCAACCGTCTCCCCCAATAGCGGACATAGAAATTTTTTTAATGTCTGCACACTTAGTATAAAAGGATAAAGGAAAAAAAAAATTAAATATATTAAAATACAAAACAAGGGTTTGGTGTTTGTCATTTTAAATGACATAAGTTATGAAATTTTAGGAGAGAAATAGACACAGAAAATAAAAATCATGGGAGAGAGAAAGTGGGTGGTTTTTTTTAATTTAAAATTTAAATAAAAAAATTTATTCTATGTCTATCTCTCTTAAAATGACATAACTTTATGTCATTTAAAATGACAAACACTTTTCCCTGCAAAAGAATATATATAAAAAAAACTTTAACTTAATATAAAAAAAGTAATCAAGAATCAACTAAATTGTTACAATAGAATATTTTGGGTCCTCAACAAAAATTACGGACCTCAATTTAATCTCTTAGGGAAAAAAAGTCTACTCGTGATCCCTCAGAATTCAAAAATAGACCCAGATAATCAAAATCATGGTCCTCTGAAATTTAAAAAGATCCACATTAATTCCTCAAAAAGACTAACATGGGTCTATTTTAGATTTTAAAGTGATCACTCACGAGTCGACCATTTTTTAAGAGATTAAATTGAATCCTGTGATTTTTGTTCATGACCCAAAATATATTTTATTTTATTTTTCTCCAAAAAATTTGTGTGTGCACTTGCCCACACTAAAACATATACAGGTCCGCCACTAATCTCCCTCATGCTAGATAGGGCTCTCCTCTCTAAATACCTTCTTACACATGGAGAGGATCATCCCTTTCGCCCCTCTCCGATGATGTTACTCTGCCTCTAGACATAGTCGTTCAAGCCTCACACACACTCTCCTTACCATTGTCACTATGGACATCCCCTATATCAACATACTTCACCCTTCATTGATATATTTATGTACCACCAACAGTGCAAGTTTAGTTAGATGTTAATAATGTCTTAAAAAAATAAGAAAAGCATTTATAATAATAGTATGGGTTTTATCTTCGTTATGTTACATAACATAACTTTATTTTTCTACACACACATTAAAGAGGTGTGTCCACATATTTTTCTTTATCTTTCATCATTCTACTTTTTCTCTTCCTTTTATTGTGTATGTAAGAAAATAAACTTATATCTATAACATAACATACATAAAACCCTAATAGTAAGTACGAAGGTTTTCAAAACATATTTAGTGCGGATGTTAAAACTAAGCGTCTCAAAATACGTGCTGTATTGATTTATGGACTCAAATTGGTAGTGTTCATATTTAGGAAATTGACACGAATTGTTATAGTATCATATTACAAGTTGCTTCGCATGTCAACTCTCGAAAAAAAATTCATTATAAAAAAAAGTAAAATTTTGATGACTTTGACATGATTTGATGTGAGTAACAAATTAATCCGCATATTTAACTCATTTTTTTATTACTTTCAAGTTTTTTTAAAAGAAAAAAGAAAGAAAATTTCCAAATTTTGCATGTCAATCCATTTGACTCGAGAATAGGAACAAATAATGTCGAAATATAAATTTTTGACTCGTAAACAAATATATATTGTGTTCTGGGTTAGATGATTTCACCTGTAGGTCAAATCTAGATATGACAAAAATATCAATTTGGTCGACACGTTTTGTCACCCCTACAAAACAAATATACTTTTGATAAAGTGATAATTTGTTTTAGTGGAAAGTGTTTGTCAATTTAAATGACAAAAATTTATGTCATTTTAAGAGAGATATAGATACAGAAAATTTCCTAAAAATGACATAACTACTCATGTCATTTAAAATGACAAATACCAAACCCTTTCTTTTAACCTTCAAACAACAACTTAATTACATGTTTCCCTAATTTTAAAATGTTATTACTATAACCTTTTTACTCATATTACTCGTACTACTTCCCATTTGGTAATGTTTCCTGAATTGCTCATTGCATCGTCATTCCTCTCACCACGATCAACCCTCTATACATACTTTTTGAGGGGCCCTTTTCTTATAAGATTCTCGATCTCATATTTGAGGTTCCTACAATCATCAATGGTATAGTTGTAGCTTTTGTGGAATTCGCAGTACTTTGTTGTATCCCTCTGCATCTTTGGCTTTAAGGCGGGAGGCCTTTGTACATCGCAAAATTCCGTATGCATCACCTCTTGCATGATACGTGCCCGGGAGGTGTTATAAGGGGGGCGTACTCTTCCTTGCCTTTGTAGCGAGCGCCCCTGAATCTATTTCATCTGCATTGGTCGGTCTATGGCTCTTGCTAAATACTCCTTTTAGGCTAGGTCTATCCTCTTTCCTACTCCATTTATACTCTCTAACCTCATGAAGCCTTGTTCTATGTGCTTCACTTCATCCATGTCAGAGACTTCATGATGAGCGCTTTCATAGGCAAACGAGCTTTCTCTTAGTCTGGAAAAGAGGATGTGAACTTGGACCTTTGGGTCTAAGCCTTTCACCATCACAACCTTTTTTCAAATCGGTTGAAATACAATCGCAGAGACTCGCCAGGCTACTGGTGGATTGTCTCTAGGGTATGTGCCGACTTCGGGGTCGACTGGCTGGTTATGAACTAATTCTAGAACTTTGATGCCAGATCGTCCCATGTTACTCTTGACCTAGTTAGGAGGTTGGTGTACCAATCCAACGCTTGTCCTCCCAATAGGGTGGGGAACTGCTTCCTACACATCAGGAGGTCAATGTCCCCATGTAGTGTTATTGTTGCTTTAAATTTCTCGACCCACTCAAATGGGTTAGAATCTCCCACATATGTAGGGATGTTGGAAGGACCTTTGAACCCGAGCAGTATGAGAGTAAAGCGTAGTGCATCACCAGAGGGTTGTTTCGCTCGGAAAGACCTATGAGGGTGCCCTGTTGTTGTTGTCCTTTTGGTTGAGGGACTTCTTGTTGCTGGAAGACTGGTTGTTGCAGGTAACGGTGGTGTTGAACTAAATAATAGGGTGTTTGCCCGACCGATTAATGAACTTGAATGGTGGGGCGATGTACGAGTGTTGTAGATGGTAATTGAAGGGCATCAATGGTTGTTTAGAAAGTTGTTCCCGTGCCTATGATGCCTCCCACGAACTACTATAGCGCTAGAGCGACCTGTGGATTGGCCAATAATGGTGCAACCAATAATTGTTGTGTGTGCATGGCCACTAGGAGTGGTGCCATGTAAGGTGTGGGATTAATTACATGTTTGCTAGGCTATTAGGGCAAGGCAGTTTGATTCTCGCCCGGTGAAGATTGTCTTGTCGGTGTTGGGATTGGTGCAATATATGCCACCATCTCTTGTTGGGGTACAACATGGCGAATTAGGACTGTGTTGGGCGTACGAGCTTGGCACTCTCAGCTTGTGCTTCTACCTGCGATGTGGGTTGACATTTCTAATTAGGGGGTTAACGGGTCGAGCCGACCTTTGGTATTAAAAGACTAAACTTGTGTTTAAATATGTCAGCCTGACCAAGCCTGTTACCTGTTATGAATATAATTTAAGCCTGTGGCCTGTCTTATTTACAAAAAATAAAAGCCTTGTTGAGCCTGTTTAAAAAAAAATAAGACAATAAATATTTATCCAAACAAAATATACAATCAACATCACTAGTAATTCCATAAATATTCATAAATTTAATATATATCCAAACAGCATAATATAAAACAAAATCATTCAAAGTCTGTTTAATTAATAAAATGAAATGAAATGGATTGAGGAGAAAGAGAGCTATCACAAGTAGTATAAAAAATGTAAAATAAAAATAAAAATAAAAATTAATATAATAGACTAGCCTGAGAGGCTCTAAGGCCGAGCTTTTGAATTGGAGCCTGAGACCTTTTTATTAAACGAGCTTTTATACAAGTCCAAACCTTGTTCCAACAATCAATTTTAAACATGTAAGCTCAGGCCTTCACGAGCCGAGCCAAAGGCCCCTAGTTCGTTTAGCACCCATATTTCTAATGAACAGCCTCAAGGAGGAACTAGATTTCTCTCCTCATTTCCTCGATCATCACAAAAGTTGTAGGGTCTATGGCTATCAAAAAAGCCATGACAGGGCCAACACCAGTATAACATCTTGTATAATTAAAAATAATATTAAAATGCCTAATGGAGGGTTAGAGGGTCTATTTAATGAAAATCTTGAGATTTGCGTCAAAATACCCATCAGGGGCAAAATGGTAATTCACCAATGTGTAACCTTAGACAATGAAATGCTAAATC